TCAATTCTCCTTCTGTCCTCCCTAGTCATTGTCCAGCTCTCTGATGCATAGCAAGTGATTGCAAAGACCATGGCCTGTATCAGGCACACCTTAATCTCCAAAGTGACACCACTGTTCTTCAGTATTTTGGAAAGGTCCCTAACAGCAGACTTTTCCATCTCAATAAGTCTTTTTATTTCCTGGTTGCTGGTGCCAAGAGTTGACTGTGGAGCCAAGCAAACGAAAGCTGAGAACACAGAGTTGATAAGAAATTTGTGAAAATGGTGGAGGGAATATTTGAATCCTAGCAGTCTAACTCCAGAACCTGTGCTTCTAGCCACTACTGGACTTTGAGTTTGGGGATAAGGAGAAAGCCAACTTGAAAAAAAAGTAATTAAATTCTTGTTCATTTATTGTTCACAGCCATTCAGTAAGAACCAAATCATAAGTGAATTCCCTGACGGTTTTTAGAAACTGTAAATGACAAAAGAGAATGTCTCTCTTTCTCCAGTAGAGCAGCTGGAGGAGTCAAACTACTTGCTTTTGGGTTGGCAACACTCTTCTTACCCACTAGGCCACTAAATCTCCCTACGCAACCCTTAAGAGTAAAATATTTGGGCAGTAACCTTCCCCCCACACTTTCTCACCAACTCTCAGAACACTTGTTGTGTCCCAAATCATCACAGTGGCCTTCAAAAGGAGACACACTCCACTCTCTCCAGTTCCTTGTGTTCCCAGCCCATGCTTCATTGATAACACTGCCACATGAACTTCTCATTTGTGAGACAAAACACTGAGCAAAAGGTAGTATTGTTATTACTAACATTTGGACAGACAGTGTGGTAAAGTAGAAAGTGCTACTGCTTGAAGCAGACAAAGCTGAAGTGAATATTGGGACAGGATTAATAATAATTTTGTGACCCTGGCAAGTTTGTTTTTCCTTCTTTCATTATTTTCATTTCTCAGAGTTTCTGTTTATTCCTTTGTGAAATTAAAAGTACTAATAATTGTTGTTGTTGTTGTTGTTGTTGTTGTTGAGTACTGTAGAGTCAGAACCGATTTATAACTGGTTTTTCAGTGAGTTTCAAGAGGCAGTTAACTGCAGGGGAGGAAATTGCCCATCTTTCTCCCATAGAGCAGCTGGTGGCCTCAAACTACTTGCCTTTGGGTTTGCAGCATAGCTTCTTAACGGTTGTAGAAAACTGAAAAACAAATTCAAGCCTCGTGTTACAATACTGAAAGATGCTACGGGCACAATTTTGAATGATCCAGAAAGCACCAAAAGAAGATGGAAGGGACCTCTGGTAGCATAGTGGCAAGAAGCTACACTGCAATCCCAGAGGTATGCAGTTCGAATCCACCAGATTCTCTGCTGGAGAAGGAGGGGCAATCTCCTTCTGTATCAGTCAGATCCAATTCGACGGTGAACACAAAAAATAATAAAAATAAAGTTTTTTTTTTTAAAAAAAAAAAAGAAGATGCAAGGACAAATTTCAAAAAGTACCATAAAAGTGATAAAAGATAAAGCTCAAGCAGCATTGAAGGCATTGTCAAAAAACAAGAGCGTGGGAATCAATGGACTACGAACTGACATGTTTGAGGGAATTCACCTGGACGTGCTCACCAATTGATGCCAGAAAATTTGGAGGACAGCTAGTTGGCTGATTGACTGGAAGAGATCTATATTTGTCCCCATTCCCAAGAAAGGTGATTCAACAGAATGTGGAAACTACTGAACAATATCCTTAATATCTCATGCAAGCAAAATATTGTTGAAAATCATTCAAAAATGGCTAGAACAGTACATTGACAGGGCACTACCTGAAATACAAGCTAGGTTTTTGGTTTTTTTTAATTTTTTTTTTAATTTTTATTATTTTTGTGTGAGTGTACCGTCAAATCAGATCTGACTGGTACAGGAGGAGATTGTCCCTCCTTCCTCGGCAGAGCATCTGGTGGATTCGAACCGTGCACCTCTGGGACTGTAGTTGCAGCTCCTTGCCACTAGGCCACCAGAGCTCCCCTACAAGCTAGTTTTAGAAGAGGCAGCAGCACCAGGGATAGCACTTGCTGATGTCAGATGGATTCTGGCTGAAAGCAGAGAACCCGAGAAGAATTTATTTGTGTTTTATTGACTATGCAAAGGCATTTGACTGCATGTATTATAAAAAATTGTGGCTCAGGTGAAAATAGAGGGGTAAGGATGGAGGGGTTAGTGTGTTAATCATAGAGTTGAACAATTCAATGGGTGGGTAGGGTGAAGGAAATGGGAAGGCTCTTTTGTGGAAAAAATGTATTCAAACTTTGTAAATAAATCAGAATTTTTTAAAAAATTATGGCTCACACTGAGAAGAATGGGGATCACGGGACACTTAATTGTTCTCATACAGAATCTGTATCTAGATAAATAAATTGTTGTGCAAACAGAGCAAGAGAACACTGCATGATTTAAGACTAAAAAGGGTGTGCATCAGGGTTGTATCCATTCTCCATACCTATTAATTCGCAAAGCTGGACTCTATGAAGAGGAGTGCAGCACCAGAATTGGAGGAAGTCTCATCAACAACCAGCATTATGCTGATGACACAATTTTGTTTGCTGAAAGTGAGGATATGAAACATTTGCTGTAGAGGATCAAGGACTACAGCTTTCAGTATGGATTACATCTCAGGATCAAGAAAACAAAGATCCTCAGCACAGACCCAACAGTCAAAACTATGAGAGATGCAGAAAAGACTGAAGCTGTCAATGATTTCACCCTGCCTGGATCTACAATCAACACTCTCGGTACCAGTAGTGAGAAAATTGGGGGAAATACTGCACTGAGCAAGTCTGCTGTCAGGGACCTTTCCAAAATACTGAAGAGCAATGACATCAGTTTGAAGACTAAGGCATGCCTGCCTGGTTCAGGCCATGATCTTCTGAAACACCTGTTACTGGACAATGAATAAAGATGACAGAAGATCTGGTGCCTTTGAGTTGTGGTGTGCAGAAGAGTACTGATGATCTCATGGACTGCCAAAAGAACAAACTGTTACATCCTGGAAATGGTAAAAAGTGGTACTTGGAGGCAAGGATGATGAAGCCTCATCTTTCATATTTTGTACAGGTAGCTAGATGAGGCTATTCCTCAGAAAGTTACATCATGCTTGGAAAGATGGGAGAGCCAATGAAGAAGAGGAAGAACTCCCCAACGAGATGGACTGACACTGTGACTTCACCATTGGGCTCTAGTGTCTCAGAGATGATGAGGGATGGCTAAGGACAGGTTGGCTGTTCATAGGGGTCGCTATGAGTCACACTCCGCTTGATGACATCTAACAATAGTAACAAAAATACTAGAGAACTCTGATGACTAGTGGTAAGAAGCTGCGCTGGAATCGCAAAGGCACATGGTTCGAATCCACCTGCTGCTCTGCAGGAAAAAGATGGGCAATCTCCTCCCACGCATTTTCCTGCCTCTGAAACCCCGCAGAGGGTTTGTGGCAGCACACAACAGCTAATACTACCACAGAACCTAACAAATCGGTTAATGATTAAATAATACACACATACTCAGGCTGCCTAACACATAAGTGGTTCAATAAACCTCAGCGGTTTCTTAAACAGCTCAGTGTGATGCCGGGGAATATGTCTATGAAGTCAGACACAAATGGAGTGTGGCCTCAAGCAAATCCTTTATGTGTGTCCCAGTTTCCTCATCTGTAACAGCTAACTGGAAGACTACGGTAGGGATGAGGAATGGAGTACCACGAGAGCTAGTTACTGCCACTGATACTTTTAGGAGAAACATAGTTTACAGTTTTAAGATCTTCGGTGAGGTGGTGGCCTGGTTCTTTGAGTTGGCGTGACAACTGTTTTTATGTTTTTAAAGGGCGTCTTCTACCTTCCCCTACTCACTGTTCCTCTAGACCAGCAACCCTAGGGTTCCAAAGTGTACCCCGCCACGCCCAAACACACCCCTGTGTCACGTGGCCGGGAGCGCCCCCTCCTCTGCCTTCCCAGCCCCAGACACCTGCTCCGCAGCGTCTCCGTCACGAAGTCCTTTCCGGATTTCCTCTTCCCACTGAACAGCAGCACCAACCGCGGGGTGCAGGCAGGCGGAGCCATGAGAACCCCACGTTCAACTACTCCTAAAAGAGAACGATTCTTCCAACCCCTTCAATCTGGCCACTTTTGCAAAATAGACGCGCCCACTATGTGTAGGAACACAGGGAAGAATTTCCTCTTTTCTGTAGTCGTACAGAGGACTGACAGCCAGAATACGTGTTTCTGTATACTTTCTCTATTGTTTGAAAAATTAAATATAAAGTAAAAATATTTCTTTACAGTGCAGTCTTCAATTGTAAATCAGCACCCCTACTAAAACGCATTTAGTACAGACCAACCCCGCCCAGGCCCTTACGTCATAGCCCCGCCTTCTTAGCCTACACCAATGAGGGGGGGCGAACTGGACGCAACTACTTTCCTCCAAAGGGAGTGAGTGATATGTTAAAATCTCTTGAGATAAAATTCTCTTCCTTCCTTCTACAGAGCTCAAAAAAGCATTAATTAAAAATATAGGTAATTATATTGAAGAAGTCTTCAACACTGCATTTTTATTTGTATGTTTTAATGCACGTGGTAAAGTAAATCGGCATTTTCCCCACAGGTGATAAGAAATCTTTTTAAAGATGAATTGCGTCATTGAGCCGCGAGGGTTGAATCTAGCAACCACTTTATTTCACGGAAGCTTTTTCGTTTTGCCCACGTTATTTATTGTTAAACAGGTTTTTTAGCTGGAGAAGCGCCTGAGATTCGAATCTCTAAACCGATAGAAAACTAAATCCCTTTCCAGACAGCTAATTGCTCTTCTAGTAGCCGCCTGTTCTCCAGAGGCTTTCAGAAAGGTGTTTAGAATGACAAAGGTGAGCTCTTTAATATAGATTAAAAGAGGTGCTGAAGCCGTCCCTGGAAGAGATTACCTAGTTTGATCCGGTGCCCAACTCCACCTGGAGTTCTGGGACCAGAGTTAAAGGATGGTGATCTGCCCGTCCACTGAATTCCCAGCTCTGGCTGTCCACAACAGCTGGCACCCAGTAGAGAAAGCACAGTTCTCCAAGCCGTATGACTCGTTGTGCCGCATTTTTCTGAGCCTGCTAAAACACAGCCTGCAACCCCTTTCCTTTCTCCATTTCAATATAAATGTAAAAGGAAGGGACCTCAAATGCATTGCTTTCAGAACCAAACGCACAGCTGACCCTCCTGTGAATTTGTGAAGGCTGTAAATCACACAGGAAGAGACTGTCCATCTTTCTCCCTTGAAGTTGCTGGTGGATTCGAACCATCAGAGAGGCATGGTCTTTGGGTTAGCAATGCAACCCCCTAGGGACTAGGCCATTGGAGCTCCCTAAATGTAAGGAAAAGTAATGCTTAAAAGGGGGATTAAAATGATGGTAATAATATGCTAAGAACAGTTGAGTAGTCAGATACAAATAGAACCCTCTTAGGTGAGGTCTTTTTTTAAACAAATTATACTAGTCAATATATGTTTCAAACCAAACCCACTGCAGTTGAGTCCAACCCTTGGCAACCCTGTTCAGGATTCTGAGGCTAAAAATCTGAAGAGACCACCTACACCCTTACAGTGAGTTACACATCACACCACTAGGGTTCGTGCAGTAGAGAGGCAGCCAGAGTGAAAAGCGTTTGACACCTCTCAGGAATGTGACCTTCAGCAAGTCATTCCGTTTCCCATGGAGAATGCCCACCTCAAAGGGTTGCAATAAAAAGGCAATGAGGAAAGTATACAGTAAAACACTTGTTGTTGTTGTGTACCACCTAGTTGAAACCAACCCATAGCTGACCCTGCAGTGGGTTTTCAGAGGCAGTTAAATCACATAGAAGATTTTCCATCTTTCACCAGAGGAGCAGCTGGTGGATTTTTTTTTTTTGTGTGTGTGTGTGTGTGTGTACCGTCAAATCTGATCTGACTGGTACAGGAGGAGATTGTCCCTCCTTTCCCAGCAGAGCATCTGGTGTATTTGAACCGTGAGCCTCTGGGATTGCAGTGCAGCTTCTTGCCACTAGGCCACCAGAGCTCCCCAAACTGGTGGATTTTAACCACATGCCTTTGGGATGGCAGCACAACTCCTTACCACTAGGCCACCAGAGCTCCCTAAAGTTTAATCCAAATATGAGATTATTTATTCAACACACTTCATTATTTTGGAGTTGGTAAATCAACACAAGGAGTCCCTAAGTGGCATAAACCAGAATCCTTCAGCTGCTAATCAAAAGGTTGGTGGTTCGGCTTACTTAGAGGCACACTGGACAAAAAGGCCTAGTCTACTTCTGAAAAAAATCAGTCCTTGAAAATATTGTTTTAATCCTGAAGGTACATGGTTCAAATCCATCAGATGTTCTGCTGGAGAAGGAGGAGCAACCACCTCGTGTGCCAGTTGGATCAGATTTGAGGAGACATAGAAAGAGAGA